GACCCGAGATTGCCGTAGGCTGTTGGAAAGGATTGTCAATGAAAGGACTTTGTTCTCTGTGCTTTATTGTACATAATAACCCCATCATAGCCTAAATTTGCCTTTTGTCAGCGTCCAGGTGGTTGCAAGGAGCCGCTGGTAGGTCTCCTTCTCACCTGTCAGCCTGATAGTTCTGCTTGTTTTCTTGCTTCAGTTATATATTCCAAATACTGAATGACCGTGCCGTTAGTACACTGTGAATGCATGTCAATGAACATGTGAAAAAATAAACACACTAAAAATTTTCATACGGTACCCAAACGTTTTCCTGACACTTCAATGCTACTTTTTGTTGTTTTTTGTTGTTTTTTTGTTGTTTTCAAAGATGTACTTTTATTACTTGTTTGTTTATGTTTTGTTATTTTTTAAATTATTTTAAGGGGCTGTCAAAAGGAATTGGTTTAAATGGCTCTGACATAAATATTCTCAGATGTTGTTTCATAATGATATGATATTTAATACACATACATACTTGTGTTTGATGTTTCTCTGCTAGTACATACTATATTACTATTACAGTCACTTACAGTGCTTGAAACATGATGTGTTCAGCAGAGGTCTAAGCTTATTACAAGAATGTAAGGTACTTGAATGTGAACATGATAAGTAAACTGGAAGTCACAAAAACAAAAAAGTCTTTGCCTTTTCACTAAATGTTTGTTTTGATGTGGTGCAATTTGGGTGGTTGGCAGGTGCTCTGGTGTAGTTTGCCCCTTGTTTCCTATCAAACATCTATCATCATATTCTTACTCTCTTGTAACACCTCTAATCTTCGGCACATATATATATAATATATGACCTTATATTGTGTTGCAAGTGTTGTAAAACTCTTACTAAAAAATACAGTGGAAACCATATAAACAGGCCCGGTAATAACAGTAACAGGGATCCGGTAATAACAGGGATGTTTAAAATCCCCGTTTTTTCCTACTCTTTGTATCTATTAAAAGTTATCGACAATAACAGGGCCTCATCGGACCCCAACCGGTTATAGCAGGGACAAAGGCTCATTAACAGTGTGTAAAAAGTGAGAGAGAGGGAGAGAGAGAGAGGACGACCGGTCGGCCTAGATCTAAGCCTACTTCTTTCATTATGGTCACCAATGATGTCAAGCGCAAGAGAAAATGCCTTTCAATTGACAAAAAATACGAAATAATCCAGACTGTTGACAAAAGCAAGCTCCATGGGCAGAGATTTGTCGTCAGTTCGCCATTCCACAAGGGTCGATTCCCACCATTATCAAGGATAGAGAGATGTTGGCAGCATACTCCAATGAAAAGTTTGCTCTGGATCGAAAGAAGATGAGACTACCCGATGTAGATGCTGTGGACCAAGCTCTTCTGATGTGGTTTAAGTTTAAGGACGCAAGGAGAAATTCGGTGCCAAAACCCATGTTCGTGAGTACTTGTAGCTAGGGAAACTACCTATGAATAAGTACAGCTAGATTAGTCCACAAATGCTCACTTTCCTTGCATTTCGGAATTAACAGGGATCGGATATAACAGGATTTTTTCTCTACTCCCACCATCCCTGTTATATCAGGTTTCCACTGTAGCATGTGGTGCAGTGGTATATGGTGGTATCAGTAGTTGAATGGTTAGACTACCAAACTCATACTTGTGTGATTGTGGGTTTGAGGTACTAGCCTCGGCTCAGTCCAACATTGTGTCCTTGAAAAAAGTACTGAACACAAATTTTTCCATTTGACATGGTCCTTTCAAAGACACAATACACATTAAATTTCTTAAATAACCTTATGGTGTCGCAAAGGGCATTAGGCCTATATAATTTACATTTTATTTCAATGGTCTATGATGAAAAACTAAACTAGAAATGATATATTTTTCCCAGCTGTATACTTAGTGTCACAGTACTCAAAGACTGACTAATCAACAGCACAGTGAGCCATCCCATCCTCAAAGTGTCGCAGTACTCAAAGACTGACTAATCAACAGCGCAGTGAGCCATCCCATCCTCACAGTGTCACAGTATTCAAAGACTGACTAATCAACAGCGCAGTGAGCCATCCCATCCTCATAGTGTCACAGTATTCAAAGACTGACTAATCAACAGAGCAGTGAGCCATCCCATCCTCAAAGTGTCGCAGTACTCAAAGACTGACTAATCAACAGCGCAGTAAGCCATCCCATCCTCATTCAAGTCCAAACTTCCCTTCTTCATCTCATCACAGTGAAGGTTTTAATTCTAAAGAGAGGTGGAATCTTTCAATGGCTGTAGAAGCAAACTACAGTTTGCTTGAGTTAAGAGAAGCACATTGACTATTGACCCAAAGATCATTTTGTGCTGGAAAACGCAAGACAGACAAAAAGAAAAAAGACCTACCCGTCAATAGCAACCTCCCAACCATCCATTGCATACAAAACATTCAATCATAGGGACCATTGTACATGTACTTTCTCATCTCCTACAGGTTCACCATTCACATCAGTAAATTATTATCACTGGATTGAAGGGCATCAATCGAGGCCAAACAGAATTTTAAAACTTGCTGTAGTGTAGTTAGACATACCAGTTTTAAGTCCCACTCTCTCTTCAGTAGTTCAGAGGTGAAGTGATTGCCTTTTTTGCCAAAGTAAAAAGTACCTGGTTCACTCTCCCAACCCCCCTGCCCACCCCCTCCAAAAGTATATTTTTAAGATTTCATAACATAGTAAAGAGCCTTCAAATTCATAAATAGCACAACTAGGTAATGGGAAAACTGCAGTTCTCTCACAACCCACTCACCTAGAACTCTATGCTGAAAAAAATTCTACATGTAGGCCTATCACTATTTATCACACTGCAAAAGAAGGCTATTTGGCTAGCCAGATTCTTACAAGATGTACCTCTAGGCGGAGATCACTGTCTACTGGAAAACTAATTACAACATGGCTTGGAAATTAGAAGAAATTACAGAAAATGGAATCCAATGTCCCACCTACAAAACAAACTGTAATCAAATCTGACAATTTATTAAAGATATTCGCTTTATTGTACACTTTATAATGTATTGCTACTGAAGGGCATGTTATAACACATTTGATTCCAAATGCATAGCATAGACGCACGATAAAAAAACAAAAACAATTTGGGACAAAACTTCCCCATAATGAAGCACAAAATACGCTTCTGATTTAAAACATCAAATTCCATTTAATGAAACATAAACCGATCAAGCAAAATTACTTGGCAAACAGGTTGGTTTTTTTTAAATTAAAGCTACAAACTAGAATCTACAGAGCATAGCAGAAAAGAAGAAGAGAATGTCATTCCAGAGAAATCTTTGGGCAAGAATTGTCAAAGTAAAGTAAAAAAATAAATAAATAAATAAAAAATCTTTAGTTTGTTTCTAATAGTGTTTTATTGGCAGTTTCAATTTACTGCAGTATCAACTTTCTGCAGCATTACTATACATTTTGTACATCTGCATATATGCAAAACATGACTCATGACAGATAAAAGAGAACAATGTTAATACATGTAACAGCAACTAGCTAGAATAAGAACATTTCTTATTAAGTATTTCAATTATGTGTATAAGCCCACATGATTAAATTAAATAGCTATGAGAACATTACTTTGTTTGTCCAAACAATCACTATTAGTGTGTGTCCATAAATGTAAGTGTGTGTGTGTATGTGTGAGAGAGTGAGTGTGTGTGTGTGTGTGTGTGTGTGTGTGTGTGTGTGTGTGTGTGTGTGTGAGTGAGAGTAGTGTGTGTGTACATGTGAGAGAGAGTATGTGCATGTGTTGAAGAGTGCATGAGAGTAGTGAGTGGGCTGCCACAAATTTCTCTCTATAGAGATCAATCAATCAATCTTATCTTATACAGTGAGCTGTGTGAAACAATGACAAATCATTCATTCAATGATATGACACGACTATCGGTGCTCGCAAGAGGCCAGCATCGATGATAATGTTTTTATATCAAATAGATTTCCTTAGCACCACAGCACAAGTGTATTCATATCAATACAAAGCAAAAGAAAATGAAGCAGGCAAACAAAAAGATTTTGTAAACCTGTGGTAATGACAAGAAGCCACCTTTTAGATTTTTACAATACCCGTAAGGAGACATACTTTACCACATTATAAGACCGATTTTGCCTCATTTGAAAACTTTTTTTAAATCTTTACACTGTAAACAGCGTGAAACTATGACATGTGCACTCTTTCATTCATACTAAAGGACTTCCAAGCATTTGTAAGCATTTTTGGTCTAAAAGACAAAGATTAAGATCCACCTAAAAGGAAAATGTACTACTATTCAGGAACTTGGATAGCCAAAGAGCTAGAATGGCAGTTTCCATGAAGCTAAAGCCAACAGACAGAGGAAGTCACATGAGACCTCCCCCCTGATCTCACACCAAACCGCCACCAACAGCAACAGAACTTCTGTTATATTATTCACACATGAATGTTTCAGCACAATGATAGAGATGTAGGCAAATAGTTAATAAAAAAACTAAATTACAAGATCAACAGATGAACAGGAAAGAAGGGGTGGGGGGGGGGGGGGGGGGGTGTTGGGCAACATAGATAAAACCATAAAAACAAAGTCATAGGTCAAAATCAAGTTACAATTGATATGCTTAAGTTATTGAAACTGAAGCTGTTGAATTTCTCCACAGCAGTCAAATTGTGGTCTAAAATAATGATGCTCCTTTCTCTTCAGAAACTGAAAATAGTAGTCTGCATTAATGATAAAAATTCACCAATGAAAATATTAAAACCCAACAAGGTTCAACGCAGCCCCAGTGGGCCCAGGTTATAAAACAGGATCCCCAGGGCCCATGTGATGTTCCTGTTATAGCTGAATCCTATTACAGTAGTGGATCCAGTTTATGTCCACTGTAACTAATGATTAATGAATGGAATCATTTCTATGACATGATAGAAATATACGTTCCCTGCCTGTTCATCAGTTGTTGCTCCTTTTTTTTAAAGCAATATTTTTTTTTCTTCATCTTTATCTTTCTTTTTGTTTAAGGCTTATCTTAGTTTTAGTCTAATAGAGGTTGACTACACATCATTTGACATGCATGGGTTAAAAAGTTATTATTATAATGACAACGGCATTTAATGGTGCACATCCATAATATAATCCACAGCATGCTCTCTATGCTTTACAACTTTCCATATATATTCAAATAGTGAACAGAGTAGGGAAAAGGAACACTCATAGTCATGCATCTGTCGTAGATCTAGCACTCAGTGTCTCTATTTCATTCAGTCATTTATTCCCGTTACAAGTCTCACCAGTCCATGGGAAGACATTGTGACTATGTAGTGCCACACCAAGGTCACACAAAGTCACTGATTGGAAAATTTGCGCCAACATCAAAGTGCATCCAGTTTAACCCCCCCCCCCCCCCCCCCCCCCTGCACATACAGTATCAAACATCATAAAAATTAAAATGAGTACACAATCAAATTTAGCCTACAGTGTAGGTGACATCTCTGCACATAGCCTTGTTGGATGTTGCTTTGCTTCATTTGCTATTTTTCTGCTTTCTTGTCTATTTGCTTTAGGATTTTGTCGATGGTTAGACCACTGCTATAGACAAGCATGTCTGTCCGAATACGTGCTTAAAGATAACTTTCTCACAATTTTTACAAAAGATCAGATCGGACACTGAGATTTACTTTAAGCCTGCTGCTACAGCCGATATCCTGTTAGTACAAAAACTGTTTTTTGGGGGGGTTTTAATTCAGAAACAGACTAAACTTGAAGTTGATTTTTTTTTTTCTCAACCTAACAGATTTCATTTTTGCTTACTGAGTAATAAATAATTTACGAACTAATAAAAGTACAACAAATGAAGTGACAGGCTATTGCTAAGACTTTCCACTAGACATCTGAGCAGCTTGCGCCTCACTCCTTTTCTGGTCAGTATCTTCCATTTCCCTGTAGACCCGAATGTGTATTGCCGAGTTACTGCGGGTTGAGGATTTTGCCTCACCTCCATCCGTCTCCGGAATAAGATCGTCTGTGAGATCTACTGTGGAAGTTTGCACACATAACTTAACGGTACCGACACCTTTGTTCTTGAGCTGTAACGCCAAGTTGATAGCTCTGTTAACAGCTTTGCCCAGTCCGTGAATGATGACCTCATTGCCCTGGTCAAGAAGTTTCTGGCACTTGGCTTCTTGGGCCTTGAAGTTGGTTTTCTCCGAGACGTACACATCATTAAATCGAAGAGGAAACCTGAAATATTGTACGCCACTTTTACAATTTTCCTTCCGCTTTAAAAACAACACACACTATTTTTTATGACACAAACTGACATCAAAACTCCAGTAATTCAGAATCTATTCACCCTAGCCCATGAGGGAAAAATCAGCAGCGAAGGAACCGCTTCCTATACAGTAGTCTCCGCCTAAGATCCCGGTGCTCGGGAGCAAGGAAATGCGGGATCTAAGGCGAACCGGGATCTTAACCGATGAACCCAGGGAAGAATCTATGGAGACCCATATTAAGGCTCACAATCGGTAAAACGGTCTGCCTCCACCCTACAATGAACTGGCGTGACCCCTTGGTGGGTTTATGACTTATGGCGGGCAAACAGTGGTTAACCTTGATGACCTAACACAGTGTATAGTGGGATGAGGCGTGCCATTTTCACTTATTATCCTATCATGAGTCTCAAGATCTACGCTTATCCAGTTGCCCCTCCTCTTTACCTGTCAAAAATGTATGGCTTTCCATCTCTGACCGAGTCCCCCCCCCCCCTCCAAACCGCCTTTGTCGTTACAGACCATTACGTTGTGAACGCACCAATTAAAATTCAGTCTGTCTCGCAAATTCGGGAGAAGAGACAACTGCTGCAATGGTCAAGGAAGAGTTCACGGTTCGATGTGATCCCGCCTGGAGAGAACGTGTAGGCCCTACCTACCCAGCGAGTGATGTAAGTTTAGGGGGCGAGCTCAGGTGTGAGTGCGATATGTGAGGAAAACAAACGTGTCGGTCAGTTCACACCCCGGTGTGATCCCGTCTGGGGCAAACATTGTATCGCTTCATCGAGTTTTACAACGTGTATGTGATCACATTCACAATAGTGGCTGATCTTTGACACGACGGACAGTTTATTGATCTCAACTTTTCACTCTTGGTTGATCGGCTGTCCCGCCCGGGTTTTTGTTTAGCAAATTATGATCTGAAATGCGGGATCTTAGCCGAATGTAGACCATCAGAGCGGGATCTTAGGGGTGACTTTTGTATAGTAAAAATTCTGTTTTCCTAAAACAGCGGGATCTTAAGCGAACCGGGATCGTAAGCGGAGGGATCTTAGGCGGAGACTACTGTAGTAAGCAATAGGTAAATTTGTTCACATTTCTTTCTTATTTTTCCAAATTGCTTATTTAGCATATGATACTGTACCTTATGTATCTGAAGTGTTCACAAATACAGTCGAACCTGCCTTAACGGAAACCTGTCTTAACGGAATCTCCCCGCTCCCCCCTTGATACATTCCTCTTTAATTACCTGTATAAAACGGAAACCTGTCCAACGTGGACACGGAAAGAAAAATCTGCTCCCTTCCGAGGGTTTCACCTGTCTAAGACTGAAAATGCTTTGCCCACACAGCCCTGATTTAAAACAAAACTCACAAATTTGGTTCCGCCCGCTCTAAACTTAACGCTATGGCCATGCCGCAGGGCGAGAAAGGGGAGTAGGGGTGCAATTTGGGGGTAGATGTTACCCCATCATGTGAGCCCTGAGCGATGCAGATGGTCAGTGTAGTGTGATTGTGAAATCTCACAACTGCCCGTGAGAGTGCTCGAGTAGCGAGCCTCTACATAAACTTTCCTGGGTCCAGAAGCCAGAGGTGTGAAATTAGATTGACCAATGCCTGCCGCCCTGATCGTACGGCCAGCCGAGAAAGAGTTCCTCGAATCCTTGTTACAATGATGGCAGTGAAGGGTGGCATTGGTGGGTGGGGTTAAGGGTGGAAGAAAAGGAGATATTCAAACGTTTCCGTTTTTAATAGGTGAAACAGTGGTCCTATGAAAGGCAAGCACTGGTGGTAATTGAATAAGTAAGACTGACGCATGTTATTATCAGACAGGATAGCAATTGAGAGGTGTGAAGTTTTGACCACTGCTTGCTAATCCGACAAGCCATTCTTGATCCGACCGGCTGGGCCTTGGAACCTTCCCCAACCCCCCAACCTCAATATCCCCCTAAATTCCCTTGTCAAAGACGGAACATGTCTAAGACCTAATTTTTTTCTGGCTCCCTTGCGATTCCGTCTTACACAGGTTCGACTGTATTTCATTCTTTCACACTCTACCAGTACTTTATATCTTAGTTGATGAAAGAGCTGTGAATGTAAAAGACTTACAAATTCAGTTCATTTTTCCTTAACACTTCCGTCCCTAGCCATTTTTTGTGCACTCCCAAACCCCAGTCCCAGCCAATGCAGCAGTATTTCAGAAAAAGAAGCATGCATTCTAAAAACTGATGTATCTTAGTAATGTCGTTTAGATAATAACATATAACAATGTTTAAAGGTAAATGAACAAATATTGTGAAAATTAAAGTTTAATTAGGTTCACTAATTTCGAAAACTGCGCAAATTCGGTATCTCCGGAAACTGAAAATATACACTCTTGGGGCGGTGGGAGGTACAAGCGCTGCTGAAAATGTACATGCATGGGGCTGGAAGGGTTGGTTATCATCAGTAGGCCTTCTGTGAATGGGGGACTCTCGTGGCCAAGAGGCTACCGTGTCCACCTCTCATTCAATATGTCGCGGATAGCAACGGAAATTGTTCTTCTCTGAAATTGTCTCCTTAACCCTTTTTCCTGCTGTCTAGCAATGCTTTCGTTTGCTTTCGTCTCCACTTTCTTCCCCCACCCCCTCACCTCCTTTGCCCTCCTCCTCTGGGCTCCTGACTCTTTCTGCAGCCTTTTTACTGCTACTGTCTGGCTCCTGCTTCTGTCTTTCAGCCACACCCCTGATCTTATAGTAGGAAAAATCTATACCTAGCCTTCTAGGACAAGGGCGAAAAATCTCAAAGGTCCCATGTGTGCAAGTTGCACACGTTAAATATTCCTTGGTGGTCCAAAATCAATAAGAGTAGGCTTCGGCCGCCACCCATGCAAAATTCAAAATTTCCTACCAACTGATAATGTTCAGTGGGTCCTGTGTGCTCATATGACCTTATGCAGTTGCGAGCGCCGTAAAACACTTACCCAAAAAAAAAAAATTATTAAAAAATACTTTGAATATAATGTCACTGTCACAAGAAATAAGAACTCCACAGTTGTTGGGGGTTTTTTTTAACTCAGCCTGTAAAGCAAGGTCAAATGACCTGTCTTGTTTACAATGTATACACAACCTATTGCTGATATTTTAAGACAATATGGCATGAATTACCATCTTTATGCTGATGACACTCAAATTTATAAGTCTATTGATTTCGATCAAATACCACTTTTAGTCGACTCTACTGAACAATGTACTAGAGATATAAAAATATGGATGACCAGCAATAAATTGAAACTAAATGATGACAAGACGGAAATAATGTTGAATGGAAATACAAAAGCCATGAAAAATCTCCCAGAGCTACAAATTGATATTAATAACCATACTATTCGTTCAAAAAGAAGTCTTAAAAATCTAGGGGTTCAGTTGGATTATGATATGTCTATGTCCTCCCAAATTAGCCAGCTCAGCAAAAGTATTTACTTTCAGCTTAAGAAAATTGGCAGTGTACGAAATTATTTAACTAAAGCAGCAGCCAAGACACTTGTAACAACACTCATTTTATCAAAGTTAGATTACTGTAATGCTATTTTGCCCGGTTTGACATCCGAAAAACTATCAAAGTTACAAGTACTCCAAAACCAAGCAGCAAAATTAATAGTGAAACAAAAGAAATCAGCGCGCGTAACACCAATTCTGAAAGAACTACACTGGCTGCCAATAAAAGAAAGGATTAAATACAAAACTGCCGTTCTTTGTTTTAAATGTATAAATGATAGTGCACCTTTTTATCTGAAAACATTCCTGGAATTATATCATCCAACTAGAGCCCTTAGATCAGCCTCTGATAATCTAATTCTTAAAATTACAAAACAAAATTACAAAACATACGGCGAGCGTTCCTTTTTATTCTTTGGTCCCCAGGTATGGAACGAACTCCCATATAAAATAAGATCTGCCCCAACAATTTCCATTTTCAAAAATCAGCTGAAGCATTTTTTATTCACAAAAGCATACCTGTCTTAATGATGTACTGTGATATATATATGCATGTGTACGCCAGACTGTGAGACTGAAGAAATAGCGTGTGAGAATGAGAGAGAGAAAAAGAGAGAGAGAGATAGGGAGAGAAAAGAGAGAGAGATAGAGGGAGAGAGAAAGAGAGAGAAAGAGAGAGAGAGTGAGAGAGAGTGAGAGAGAGAGAGAGAGAGAGAGAGAGAGAGATGGAGAGAGAGAGAGAGAGAGAGAGAGGGAGAGAGAGAGAGAGAGAGAGAGAGAGAGAGAGAGAGAGAGAGAGAGAGAATGGAAATGTTTTTCTATCTGTATAGAATTAATGTTTTAATGAATGTTTCTAGTTACTCACGTTTCAACTTTATTGTGACCGTTCGTGGGTTTTTATTGCATTGGTTTTTTTTAGTGAACACATTTTCAACCTCACTGCGAGACTATTTTTCTCATATAGAATTTTACACATATGCATTTATATTATATGTATAATACGTTGTTTTATGTACGCACTTGTCGATTAATTTTTAATATGTTATGTCTTTTTCTTTGTAATGCGCATTGAACATCTTTTAGAAAATGGAAATGCGCTGTATAAATGCTATTTATTATTATTATTAAATGAAGTCATTCACTTTTCTAGTGACAACATTAGGAAACATTATTGCCATTCTTAATCTTAATTACCTCACTTAACAGAAGAGAAGATTAATGGGATAAGAAAATGATGAAAATACATTCTACTGAATTGACCCTCCATCCCATTCTTCAAAACTTGTTAACAGTGCAGCCTCTCTATAACGACCTTCCATATAACGACATCCTCTGTATACAGCGACATGGTGTCCAGTTCTCGATTTTTTCCTTATATATCATTAGTAATTTTTGGTTGCCTCTTTATAACGACAACTCTCTATAAAAACATTTTTTTCTGGTCTTGACGATGTCGTTAAAGAGAGGCTGAACTATAATTGTAATTAACATTAAACCCAATTTTTACAGCTGAACTCTACTAAGCCCATGATTCCCAGCTTTTCTCACTGTCTCTTACATAAGATCATTCATACCTTGGTGGCAGACGCTTCCTCAGAGTGTATTCTTCTTCATCAATAGAGGTGTCTGCCTGCATGGCTGCTGTCAGTGTTAATAATGAAGATTATTTGTTCCAGCACCATTGACCTGATGGAAAGGACACATGATTATCAACATAATATAAATAGATTTTGGCACTAATTTATTTTTCGGCAATAGTTACTTCAATAACAAGATACAGAAAATAGTGCATTTTACCCTTGACCTTTAACCACAGCAAAATTATAGATTAGCTGTAAACTCATTCAATCAAAAGTCTGGTGAGTAAGCATGTATATATATTACAGTAGGGCACGTAAAATTCAAACGTGTTGGGAATTTGCAAAATGTGTTTGACTTATTCATAATTCAGGTAAACTGATAAAATGATAAAGGATATAGAAAAAATCAAAGGTAGTACAGTGGGTGTCGCATTCAACGAGGTTACATTCAACGAAAAGTCAGCTCCAACGAGGTAATCCTTAATCCCCGATTTTTTCCTCTATATCTCTTTGTATGTACGTCAGCTCCAACGAGGTTGCAAACAGACCTAAGTCGCTTTCAACGAGGTCGCGATAACCAAATAAAAGCAATTAGAGGCCTCAAAAGCGAAGAATTTTTCTCCTTTCTCTCCATCTCACGCGAAGCACAAGACCCATCATCAATTCTGAACATATTGTATTGCTAGCTCTAGTGTGCCTCGTGATATAGCGCCCCAAAGCCATGAGGATGGGCGAGGGTTGACCTACGGCAGGGATGGGAGGGGGTGGGTGGGAACGCGATGCGGGCTGTGCGAAACTGGATGAACTGTGGATGGGTAGATCTATGTCTAGATCGAGACCTTCATTATTTCGATTTTCTTTTCTTCCCCTGATCAGATAATCCGAGCCGCCACCTTTACTTTATGTAGACATCTAGGCCTAGATGTGAGAGGGTATGTTTCCGCATGAGAAGTGTTCCGGAAAAAAAAAAAATTTTCATGCAGAAATGACGGCCAGCACACAGCTCAAACACGCGCATACGGATGCTGTTTGAGATTTTTACCATCAGGGGGGACAACAGTTTTAATTACTGGTATTAGTACATCGTATACATGTACTATAATAACTTGTCCCCTTTCTTTACTTTAGCCTTAGTCACATTCAACGAGAGGTCGGATCCAACGAGGACAACAAGCCGGTCCTGGCAACCTCATTGAATGCGACACCCACTGTAATTGTGACTGTTCAATGGTTAGAAAGTAAATCTCTAACAAATTTAGTGTGGCACATTTGATTTTCCACACAGTTGTGGGTTTTTTTGTGATGCTGTGTCTCATTTTGAACTTGTCCAATCATTTTGCGGTGGATGTTAAGTCAAGGGCACGTTCCTTTGCAATTTCATCTGCTTTTGTCATCAAGATGAGACCACAGATAGGAAGAGACATGACACATGCTGCTATAACCATTGAAAGAACACTAGCTCAATGTTTGCAAATTAGGCAAAGTTTGCTCGCTTTCTGTAAAGTTGAAATCCAATGCTGGCGTTTTCAATTTTATCTCCATTTTTAAAATAAAGTTATATGGAAAGCATTGAAATAGGTATACCAAATCTCTTGCAAATTTCTGACTTAGTGCAGGATTCCTTGTCAATCACTGCTACAATCTGATTTTGTTACTAAGAGCAAATAATGATAGAGAGTCTATGATGGCTATCCTCCAATTCATCCATGTCATTAGAAGAAGTCGGAACCAGAGAAACTTATTTTAGGCTGACTAGCTTGGCTGTAAGTAATGACAATGATTAGTTTAGTTTGCCAAATCAAAGCCCTGTAAATGTAATGAACATCATCAAAGCTTTCCCATAAGTTTGAAAAACCAACTCATGACTTTCAGCTCTTTATACGTTCTTCTTGTTCTATCAGATGGATACACCCCAATAGACCTGACTTTTATCTTTGTATGCCTCAGGTTCTTCGTTTATTTGGTAGCCTATTCAATGGCAGTTTGGCATATCAACATTAATTGCACCATCATTTTTCATCAAATTATTTGACACATGCAGTCACATACAGGCACAAATATAAATTTAACTTATAACACATAAATGTTTTGATTCTTTCAAGTTTGGTCTCAATGCACAATGTAATGAGGAGAAGCATGTGGTGTTGAAGCGGCATTCAAATATTTACACTTTCCAGACATTTATTTATATAACTTAGTATTGTCCTTCCACCAAAAAAAAAAAAATTGTTAAAAAGATAATAACCATTCAATAACTGAGACTCATTCATTCAGTTCCATCACAGCCTATAAGGTGGCCATCAGCCACTTGGCTGCAGCCTTCTACCTACATCATCCCTACAATGTGCACAAGAAAGTACTATTCATTATACTAAAGTACACAGTATAAATAGCCAATCATCTTATAAAATCAAATGTGAGGCATAATTGTGGAATCCGGCGCTCATCAAAGTAATGAAATCCGAGAAATCAGCATTTTTCTGTCAGTTTGGACATTTTTTTTTGAATTTTTGTTTTTTGGCTCAACACCTTGCATGTCAATTCAAAAACATTTTTATACATGGATTTTATGGAAAAAAGTTGATCAAAGGCACAAAAAATGTAAATGTGCAAGTTCCATGGATTCTTAACCCTAGAAGCGCTCAGCGTTTCACCAGAAGTAACCCGCAAAAATGCCCCACGGCCACGGCCGATCGGTTGTAAACATGGGGCTTTGGTGGGGGGGGGGGGGGGGATCAACTGAGATACCCGAGATTTATACACCTGCTACTGAAAAATACCATTTACGGCTCAACAGATGATATAAAACCATATATTTTCTTAAAGCTAATAGAATGAGCCATTCAAAAATGATCAGCGATCAAATAAATACAAACAAAGGGCAAAACGCGATAAACTCAACAATTAGTACATCAGCACCGCGAAACAAGTGATAACACATAGCATGTAGTCGCTCAGCTGGACGGCGTCACTTTATCGATCGATATCTTGGCCAAGAGACGCTCTACGAGGTCAAGATAACTTGCAAAGTCATTGGTCACTATTTATAAGTTTGACCTGTAATTTACCACGTCATTTTCCATTGAAAAAAGTCTGCGTCTTATTATGTCCTTTATATAGGGCCTACGCGCTTCTCAGTCGATTCCCGGGTAGCCCGGCTCATGCCCTTATATAGGGTCTGCACGCTTCCAGGATTAAGCTATGGAAGTCACCAAACTTTGGTGGCCATTTTCTCGCTAATTTTACTTCTAAAACCAAGCGACCCCACCTCTTTCAATCGCAAATATCTTGACTTCTATTCAAGATAAATGGATATTTTTTTCATCGAAAGCAAGGCAAATGAATAATCTTTAAGAAGACACCAATAACTCCATACGCCCAAAAATTGACGAGCGCCTAATTACACTGCGTCGTGACACAATATGAAGAAGGACTTTGGCCTTGGTTGTACAAAGTCGTAGTCTGAACTTACTTTCATCACTGTGCTGAAAAAAAAGGCCACCTTTATTCTCACCCCGGCTGAGAATAGCACAGGCGAGCCTTTTGGCTATTCTCACCCGGTGTGCGTTCACCGTTATAGCCTAGGCAACCAGTGTAGCGTTCACCCTGAACCACAGAATTCTACACTGTGATAACAGAATTGTAGAATTCTGTGCCGTGAACAAACTTTCCAGCGCTCTTGTGTTACTACTGTTAGCCTAAAAGCGTTGCAATTTTGTCTGTGTTCAGTGGAGAGAGAGAAAGAAAGAGAGAGGAGTAGCGCGAGAATTCCCGGCAAAACAAAATGGCGACCCGTGTAGTTCGGCTCGATTCGGAAAGTTAAATAGCCGTAGCATCTTTGTAGACGACCAAATTAATTTACTTAAAATTGTGTTTTAACATCATTTTTTAACTTTGTTTTGGTCAATTTGATCGTCCACACCGATAGACAGTATTCAGAAAGAGACAGAGAGAGAGAGAGAGAGAGAGGCGAGGAGTAGATCTTGTGAGAACTTCTGGGCAAAACAAAATGGCGACCCCTGTAGTTCGGCTCGATTCGAAAAGTGAAATAGTCATAGCATCTTTGTAGACAACCAAATTAGCTTACTTTTGTGCTCTAACATCATTTTTTCTTTGCTTTTGTCAATTTGATCATCCAAACCGATAGAGAGTATTCTGAAATTAGGAAAAACAGGTCTCGTTTCACACTGGGTGAGAATAGCCAACGCTGGCAAGTCTCACCCGCGGAGAGAGGTCAATCGTATTTTTATTCTCACCCCGGGGTGAGGATAGCCACTTCCGAAAAAAAAACTGTCATTATCATATAATTTATAGCGAATAGGGACTATTGCCATTGTTGTAGATAGACATTATTACTCGTTGTATTGAATTGTAACGTTATTGTCTTGTTACTGTCACACACTTGAAGTTTCTTTGACACGCAGTACTGGACAGCAAATAATAATAGGCCTGCACTATTTCTCCGAATGCTCGGGAAAATAAAGCAGGGCACTATTTCTCCGAACGTTCGGGAAAATAAAGCTGGGCACTATTTCTCCGAACACTTTGAAATCACATCCTTTTCAACAAATTTCGAAGATCTTTAATTATATGATAGGCCTACCAAAGATTGTTCGTATACAATAAGGTTCAATAGGTCCAAAAAATTTCCGCAGTAAATATTTATATAAAGAAATGCTACAGTTTCAAACAGTTTTTCGCTACAGGTATGACATGTTGCCTAAGAAGGATGCTTCTCTTAAACTTAATGTGTTGTGTTCACTCATGTGCTGTCTAGATCTAGATCTAGTCTAGATCTATGGAGTGGAGGGTTATTGATAACGACACATAGAACTAGCATCTCTTCGTTTGTCGTGGCCGCGACCAATCAATCGTGGCTCGATTTTTTGGTCTCCGAATCGGGGAAAAAAAGTCACACAAAAAAAGAAACCGAACTTCTTTACTTTTGAAAGAAAGTTCATTTAGCTTCACTTCGTCTCTTTCTCACTTGTTGTCACCACATTGATTTGTTGAATACATTACAGTTATATATACAATTTGTATTGCTGTTCCTCTTTTATTTTTCCCTCTTTGTGGTGTTTTATTTTGTTGGTGTGTAATTTTTTTTCTTGTTATTGTTCTGATGTGTTGTTTTTCTATAAATGTTTTTTTGTTGGGGAAAAGGGAGGGGCAGGATGTTGTAAAGTGTAACTTTTAATTTGATGTTCCTATCTTCATTAGATTCTAAATATATATAGATTTAAATAAGTTATGTTAGAGCGTTCCATCAAAACCGATTACATGTACCGACACTGGCAGGCCCCTTGTGTGATTCCATAATTTACATGCAATATCCTGTACTTTTTTTTTTTAATTACGCACATTTACGGTTAAAACAGCCAATCTTCTTCGGACAGGTGGACACACGCCCTTATTTGTTAATTTTTGTGATTGTTTATGGGCTGTTCTGTTTTTTTATTTCATTCTGTTGTGAAACCTTTCTTTTTCATGTTCACGTTTTTGAAAATTGAAATAGATCTCTAGACCCAAAAATTTGCTCCTTCCCAGACCTTGCAGAGTGGCAGAATCAGTCCAGGGCAAAATCAACTTTACTAGTCAACTAGTCGACAGTCGACTGTGAGCCCAAGATCGACGCTGTGACCCTCATCTTCCAGTCGCTCGTGACTCTCGACTCTCGACTCTCGGTTACATAGCCTTGTCTTGATCAAGACCAACCTCCCCTGCCTGTCAACGTTGGTGGTGGGTGCAGCGAAGTTAGAGCTAGCCAATAAAAAAAAAAGTTTTGATCAAGACTTAGGCCCGTGTGTGTGTGTGTGGGTGTGTGAGAGAGAGTGTGTGTGTGTGTGTGTGTGTGTGTGTGTGTGTGTGTGTGTGTGTGTGTGTGTGTGTGTGTGTGTGTGTGTGTGTGTGTGCGCGCGAGGCGAGGCTGGCTGGCCTGCAGCGTCGCAGTGCAGTGCTGGCGCGCCAGTCGCAGTCACCGTCACAGGAACAATTACTGTAAAACTAATGATTGCTGTCTTGGCTGTCTTCCGTTATTTTGTCAGCTTCACTGTAATATTATAGCATTCGTTCAAATTCCAAGAGATGTGCAAAAACACACATAAATAATTATAATATAATATATTATGAGATCAAAACACTTGATTACACATAAATATGCAGGTTATAGATCTAGATCTAGATCTAGATCTATGAATTATTTTTAAGCTCAATTCTGATTTTTAAAACGAAGTAATATTAAATAAATTTTGCGCAGAAACAAACTTTTAAAGGCTAACAGTAACCCCACAACGTTTGTTTCCCGAAGCCGTAAGTCAAAAAGCTAAATTTAGAAGTAGTCAGCCCAAAACCTATGACCTCTTAGGCTGTAAGAGCACAGGAAGTCATAGCTTCACTCTATGTAAAGTCAAGGTGAGAGTCACAGTCACAGTCGACTTTTAGAGTTTGACGAAAGGAAGTGGCTATTCTCACCCGGGGTGAGAATAAAAATACGATCTACCTCTTACCCCGGGTGAGACTTGCCAGCGTAGGCTATTCCCACCCGGTGTGAAACAAGACCTGTTTTTCCTCATTTTGGAATACTGTCTATCGGTGTGGATGATCGAATTGATAAAAGCCAAGAAAAAATTACGTTATAGCACAAAAGTAAGCTAATTTGATCGTCTTCAAAGATGCTATGGCTATTTCACTTTTCGAATCGAGCCGAACTACGGGGGTCGCCATTTTGTTTTGCCCGCAAGTTCTCGCAAGATCTACTCCTCCCCTCTCTCTCTCTCTGTATACTGTCTATCGGTGTGGACGATCAAATTGACCAAAACAAAGTTTAAAAATGATGTTAAAAAACAAAACTAAATTAATTTGGTTGTGTAGAAAGATGCTACGACTATTTAACTTTCTGAATCGAGCTGAACTACACAGGTCGCCATTTTGTTTTGCCCGGAAGTTCTCATGCTACAACTCTCTCTCTCTCTTTCTCTCTCTCCACTGCCCACAGACAAAATTGCACGCCTTTAAGCTAACACTAACAGTAGAAATAGATCTAGAACATTTGTTCACAGCACAGAATTCTATAATTCTGTTATCACAGTAGTGTAGAATTCTGTGGTTCAGGGTAAACGCTTCACTGGTTGGCCTAGGCTATAACGGTGAACGCCCACCGGGTGAGAATAGCCAAAAGACTCGCCTGCGCTATTCTCACCCGGGGTGAGAATAGTGGTGGCCTTGACGAAAACGTTGAGTCAACGTTCCAACTTTCTTAATCGCCGACTTTGCCCTTGCTTAGGCAGAATAAAAGTTGACGCTGAACTCTCGCAAATGGGCAAAAAATCACGAGACCGGAAGCCAGAGACCGTTCGGAGAAATAAAGATCGGCACTATTTTTCCGAACGTTCGGAGAAAAATAGTCACTTCGATAAAATAATATAGATCTAGATCTAGATCTGGTATTTTTTTACTTTCCCTCCCGCCTCATACTCAGCTACCAGTTGTCTATTTTCTGCTAAATATTGATACGCTGAACAAGAATATCAACTTCATTTCCGTCGCAAATTAATAGTTTTTTAAATATTTGATTGTTTCTAACCGAGATCGACGTGCTTTGGACCAATCGGGGGATTCAAGGGGGGCCTGCCCCACTGGGGTAAAAGAAAATCTGGGGGGTTACAGGGCGGGCATGCCCCCCTGTTTTTACCTATAATTTGATATTTTACAGTTAGATTTGAAGTTGTCTTGAAAATAATTGATTTGCGACAGTTTTAGTGGCTTTATGTGTGATCTGCAGCAAACAGGACTGTAGTTTGACCCCTGAAGCAGCGCATCTGTGTGCGGGAGTGAAAGTAAGAAATTACCCTAGTCTATGGTGAGAAGCAACAAGTTGCAAGTGATAGCAAATAGAGTGTTGAAAATATTGCTAACAAAAGACTCACATTTGAGCTTAATTCAGAATGTAACCAAGCACAAACGTATCAATCTCATTAATTATATAGATCTAGATCTAGATTCACTTTACTTACCGCAGGCTATTCAGAAGTCAGAAATGACAACAAGACAAACCACACCAGGCACACGCGAACGTTTGTGTTGTGTACAACAAAACAGTGTATGGGGTTTGTATTGTACTCTCTAGCAGTTTACGTTTCAAAATTGCGGTCGTTATTGAAAATGAATAAATATTATTATATCTAACAATTAATTAGGTAGCACAACCACAAAGATAAAAATCTAGATCTAGAAACATCTAGATCTAGATCTATACTCGTCAATTTGAAGACATAGAAATGATAGTAAACGGTTTAAAGCTATTTTAAAGTGTGTTTCAAAGGAGACAGAAAATGGAAAAAGGGACTGGAACTACAAAGGAATTGTGTGCGTGCGCGTCTCTGCATGTAGACATGAGTGTGATATGTACACACCTAGGCTTCCTAAGTCGAAGCCTAGGTACACACGTCATTGCAAAAACACTCGTACTTTATGTCCCTTCAACACAATTCGGAAAGGGAAGACAGGCTGCTTGAACTTTGCCTGTCATGACCAATTATGGTGTTGATAGGCCTATGGATAGGCCTACAATGTCACCGTAGGCTAGGCAGAATTAAGAAGATGCTCGATTTAAAAAAAACCCAACTATGTATAAAGTAATAGAATTTAATCGAACTTACATTCCACGTGCGATGGTGAAATACCTATATCAATAGACCAGAAGAAGGAGAAGAAGAAGAAGAAGAAGAAGAAGAAGAAGAAGAAGAAGAAGAAGAAGAAGAAGAAGAAGAAGAAGAAGAAGAAGTGTAGCAAATGAAAAAGAAAAAAAGACGGGGGGGGGGGGGGGCAACGGAATCCCCAAGAAGAATTTCAGAGACTGAACAGAGAAAACCGTTATCAACTTTTCAGTTACAGAGTGGATTGATAATCTTTGTTTAAGTTAAGAAAAGGGGTGGGGGGGGGGCAGATATCGTCAGAGAAATAATTATAGGCCTATTTTTTAAGAGTCTCTAACAAAGATAGTACAAGGTCTTGTACTATCTTTGTCTCTAATAACTAATATCGCATCAGCCTTCAAAGCTGCGTTCATTCAGCCCGGTTGCCAGCTTGCGGCGCAAAGAAGCCTGGATTTGTGAGGAATAAATTTCTAGGCTAGTTGCGCAAATCACGTGGACAGCCGGTACCATCGTTTCTCTTCCGGTGATCGGAGCACACTGATGACTGAAGTCTGATTTCCAGTTTCCAGTGTTACTTTTATGTCAATACTGTGGACTCATCAGAATTGTTTGTTATCTTATATAATATTATGCGGTTCTGATAATATAGCCCTTCATATTCGGGGTTCTGAAGATGTAGCTTCTGCAACATGACTGCGCTATCGTGATCACGGTTTTGTGCGCCCGGGCGCCTACTTTGCAAAATTTCTGTGTACGCGAAAAACAAAATGGCGGATGTCAACAAACATTGTGACAACCAAACTGGACAGGGAAGCACAGATTCTGACCGTATATCTGAAGAGTTAAAGTCTGCTGCTAGTGCTCTTTTAGAGTTGCTAAAGAATAAAAATGTTAATACTACTGATTTGTCGTCTGTTAAGGAGATTCACGAATTAGCAAACTTACTGAGCCAGTCAAATCGAGGCATCGAACCAACCGGAGAAAACAAATCGAAAGTAGACATTCCAGGCTTTTCAGCTACCTCTGAAGACAGTAGTCATGGTTTCGGTTGCAAAATACTTGATCACTGCATACCTGACGTCCAAGTAACAATGGGTCAAGATCATGATACGGACAGTCTGTTGTCCGATACTTTGACGTCTAAAGTACAGAGTGAGAAAAGTAAAAGCAGTGTTGAATTGAGAGATCAAATTTCTGCAGAGGATGAGGATATGGTTCATGCTCTGACTGAGACTTATGAGGTGCCCCACAACATTGTGAGTGCAAAAGTCTTAACATCGGATCAATGGGAAGGGGGTGATGACAAAAATTGTGTGGAAAAAATCAAAATAGAAGAAGACATGAATCCATCAACTTCCATGGACTTGGACGCAATGGTTGTGAAAGTCAATAGTTCATCTTCCGGAAACACCAGTTATGCCATACTCGAATTAGGTTCTTCTCGCATGGCCATAGAAAATATGAATGTTATCTCAGAAAATGTTTTGATACAGGATATAAAAACAGAAAATGAGACTGTTTCAGGGGTTAATCTTTTGGAAGAACATTTAGATGGTGATCATGTGTTGACCAAGACCAAGTTCATGATGAAATCTTGGAACAAGAAGCAAGATGGAGAAGGGAAACCTCACCACTGCAGGCTCTGTGGGCTAAGATATCAAAAGAAATGTGCCTTGAAACGCCATATGATTTGGAAGCACCAGGAGTACTTAACAGCTCAAGGTTTATTTGACAAACTAAAAGACTTGGAAACAGTGTCAACTGGTCAGTGTTTCAAAAACATGGAGTCAAGCCTTCACACAGAAAGTAAAAACAAATATGTTTGTCCGCTTTGTGGTAAACTATTTAAGCAGCAGACATATCTTAAGGCTCACTTTTTGATGCATATTCAAGACACACCATATTTCTGTAAATTTTGTCGCAAATGTTTTAAAACGGATGTAATGTTAAGTGATCACATGATGGAACTACATGCTTCACAATTCAAGATGAAAAGGAAAAAGTCTACTCATGATGGATCTGCAGACATTAGAACATCCATGAGTTTGAAATGTTCTGAATGTGACAAGACATTTAGTAGCAAAAAATCACTTGAATTTCATCTTGAAATCCACAAAGACAAGAAACACTATGCTTGTAAGCTTTGTGACAAAACATTTTTGCAACATCGGATTTATGACCTCAAGAGACATATAAGACAAACACATGGGAAATTGGAAGTTGAAAGACATATCCTTTACTTGGATTCAAGTTCATTGCAAGATGTCAGCTATAAAAATGAACCCGGTGAGCGAAGAAAAGAAGGTTCTTTGAGAAAAAATAAAAAAGATTCTAAGTCGTCCCAGATATTGTTCAAGTGTCCATACTGTCCAAAAGTCAGTAAATATTCTGGCAATTTAAAGTATCATATGGAAATTCATACCAATGACAGAAAGTATTCTTGCAAAATATGTGGTAAAGCATTCTTATCACACCGAAAGAATGATCTTCAGCGGCATATAAAACAAACTCATGGGATAGCAGAAAATGCAGAGAAGTATATGAAATATTTAGCTGTGAAGAAGGGAGATTCTGCATCATCTGCTGATCATCAAAGTAAAGGAGAGCTTTTCACTATCTCTGAAGGGGGTGTGGAGATACCTAAGAAGAGAGGGAAGCCGAGTAAGCTTGTCGGTTGTGAAATCTGTGGAGATGTCTTCAAGAACAAAGCTGAGCTTCAAGTACATGCTTTGGAACAACATGAAGAGCACTACACATGTGTTCCCAAGGTGGAGGCTCTAGATCATGACTCAAATATCACCTCCATAATCATCGATGATCCTTTTGCAGGTCCAAGTGGGTCCTCGTCTGTTGATGGCAGTCAAGTGCTTCCACACGATGTCCCGCCTTCTGTTGTTGCAAACGTTGAGGATGTCAACAGTGTTTTGTCATCCCTCCCATACCACAGTTGTGATGGTGATCAAGTTAAAACTGTCGTGAAAAGAAGTGGTCCAGGCGATGACAGCAAAATGTACAAATGCCCACTTTGTCCCAAAGTGATGAAATATGCTTACAGCCTGAAGTACCACATGAACGTTCATGAAAATGCAAAAGGTTTTGCTTGCAGACTATGTAATAAGACTTTCCTTACACATAAAAAATATGATTTGAAAAGACACATCAAATACACACATCATGTTACAGAAGTAGAAAAATACATCATATCAGCTGACAGCTTATCACATAGGAACCTCATTTTAAAGCAAAAACAGCTTCATGTTTCAGCAGCTCATGAAAAAGACAAAAAAGCAGGAGACGTTGGTATCAGTGAACAAAAACAAGATCGGAGAAAGCAAGTTAAGAATGTGCGAAAATCTAAGAGAATCACTGCAAGAAAAAGCAAGGAAATTCAAGAAGACGACGTCAGCATTAATATAATTGAAATTTCAAGCCAGAATGCATGCACTACTGACGCAGTAAATTCTAATGAGACGGAATATGAGTGTCCTGTTTGTAAAGAACTATTTCATGGTGAAGTCCAGTTTAAAAAACATGTTGGGTCACACAAGAGCAAGAAATATGTTTGCCACTTATGCAACAAGTCATACGACAATATTAAAGTGTTGAGAAGTCACATCAAACAGACTCATGTTGTCGGAAACAGTGACCTGATTAATGAAGCTATTGATCTCTATTGCAGTAATTGTGGACAACAGTTCTTTAGCTCTCAAGATCTAGAGAGACATTATCTTCGTAGAGACTGTGCAATGTTAGGGAAAAAGCAGCAGTCACAGAACAGAAACTTGAGGAAAGCTGAAGTGGAATCTGTATATGAAAGAAACGAAAGTACCCTAGAAACGAACGGGATTCCAACAGGCTCAGATACTCACTTTGAGTCAGTCGTCGGGAAGGATATTGGGAGGGCTCGGAGAAAGCCTCCTGTGTTGAAGTCTGTTTACATATGTTTCTATTGCAAAAAAGATTGTCTAACCAAAAAATACCTCGTGCAGCACCTGTGGACACATGAAAGAACCAAAAGATACAGGTGCAAACTATGTGATATGAGTTTCAATCGTATATTTGAATTGACAATGCATATGTCTGATTCTCATGAAAATGAACAAATACCAATTGATGAGCTGTCAGAAGCAGGACAAAAACATGTATGTTCCTTATGTGGGGAGTCTTTCAAGAACAGATATATTCTGAAAAATCATTATGTCATTCACAATGGTACGAAGACTAACAAATGCAAGATTTGTGATAAGATGTTCACTCGTTACTCTGATGTGAAACGACATATACGGCAGATGCATGACAGGCAAGAGAATATAAGGGACCTTGATGAGTTTGTTGAAAGAATGACAGTGGAAGACGCCACCAGTGCTTCAGTTAGTAATGAGCATGTTGGTTTTGGTGGTATGACTGGAACATTGCCTGTAAATTGCTCCTTTTCTGACGAAACTCAAAATAATTCTGCTAATTTTGGGGAACCAGAAGGACTAACATTGCCTGAGCATATAAGTATCACAGAAGAAAATACTGACAGAGAACTCAGTGTTCCGCTTAGCTGTGATGTTTGCCAAAGTGAGTTCTCATCTGTAAATGCACTGCAAATGCATAGGTTAGTTCATGTGCTCCCCGAGCGAGAAAAATGCGAGTTCTGTGACAAAAGCTTCTTCCACTTAGACAGGCACATATGGGAAATGCACGAAGATGAAGTGACTGCAAAGTCAAAAGAGGACTCAAATGCTGTCACAGAGCACGGTGAATCGTGCCGCTCTTCTGACTTCAGCTGTGAATTGTACCTGTGCGTTTTGTGTGGAAATGAGACCAGTGAGCCGAGAAGTGAGAGTGGAGCCTGCTCGAGCTGCAGTCTTCTCGCGCATCAGAATGTTTCAGAAGTTCAGATGCCACACTATTGCTGTAGCATTTGTGGACTCAAGGTTATGGACGCAGACACTCTGCAGCGTCATCTTGCCAGCCATGAAGAAGATAAAGAGAGACCACATAAATGTGACCAGTGTGAAAAGGCGTTCAAAACAAAGAGGGCTTGGGAACTACACGTTATTGACCATTCAAGTAAGGCTGAAGTTTTAAAGTTCTGTTTTGGAAAAATGTTAAGAACTTCAGGATTTTTAAATATGTGTATTGATTTATTTATTTTTTTACGGTAAGGTCATTTAGTGTGCTTTAGTATTGTTTCCAATTTTTATCATTTTGCATTAACAAAATGGTCTGAATCAAGTTGAATTTGAGGTTTTAATCTTCCTGATTTTATATAGAGTGCCAAATGATTCTCTTGATCCAAAATGTCATACTGAATGATAAATAAATGTTTGTTTGGTAAGGAAGTCATTGGTTTCTCATTAGTTGATGGTTCTGTTTGAAATAAGTATGATGAGTATGCCTTTTTTTGGACAAATAACATCTTTACTCTCAAATTTTTATGCTGTGGCCAGAAATAACAACACTCTCCTCCTCCCCCCACCCTCCCTCCCCACCTTTCATTTTAACACAACTTAACAACTTTTGAAAAGCTCGTTGTATGAGGGGCAGTGAATATTTCACTCACTGACGAAGATTTATTGCCTATCAGACACTTTCAGCCACTCTCTCATTACTTGTTTCTTTTTCTCTTACTCCCTTTAGATTCCAAGGACTGCTACTGCTGTGAGGAATGTGGGCTGACATTTTCCTGCCTTTACAAAGTGCGAAGGCATCGACATAGTGTGCATCAGAAACACAAGCCAAAAGCTACTCATTTTTCCTGCCATATTTGCCTTTTTGTGAGTTTCTTGGGTTTAAGCTCAATCATTGAGTCAATGTCTCATATTGGGGGTTTTTTTCTAGATACTTTGATCTTATAGAATACTAGTTACATTAGATATACGCTGACTTCAGTGCTTGAAATGGGTGAATCTTGTACTATTTAAATCACTTTGCAGATCATTACTTTTCACCAAGGCATACACTTGTAAGGCTGGTGAAACAATTCTTTTGAACTATCATTTTCATTCAGCCGTGCAGTCCTGGCATTGAAAAGAATAGGACTGACGTGGTGCTAACGTGTCGTAGGAGGCGTCTAAATGGCGAAACCAGGTAGTGACTCCGGAAACAGAGTCATCCTCCCTCCAGGTTGGGGGTTGAGTCACGAGGCTAACAACCTCTCTCGTACAAAAAAACTTGTTACAGAAACACATACAAGCAAAAACCATTATCTCTGCTTGGCTGGTCTTGGATTTTCTCCGAACGGAGAGTTTATGATGCGAGCGAAGCAGTGAAAGCCGAAAGGAAGCTGCTGGGCTGAAGCCTCCACCATCATCCAAGTCCAAGTATCTCCGGATTGGATCGTGGAACGTTAGGACCCTTTATGAGGCTGGAAAAACTGCACAGGTCCTCTAAGAAATGCACCGATACCATCCTCACATATTGGGAGTCAGCGAGACCCGCTTGAACCAGTCTTGACAGAAGCGAATGAAAGAGGGGGAGCTTTTCATTTATCCAGGAAACGACAGGGAAGGAGTAGGGATAATCATAGCCAAAACAGCGCAAAAGCCATTTAGGGGCTGGGAAGCGCACGGTCCAAGAATCATCATGGCCTCATTTGGAACTAAAAAAGAACTCAAAGAAAGAGATGGTAGGAAGAAGGTCATAAACATGAACATCATACAAGTTTATACCCTAACCAATGGTGCAGAAGTGGAGAATAAAGATGACTTCTGCAACCGCCTGCAGAGTGTGATCGACAAACTTCCAGGTAAGGACATCAACATTGTCATGGGAGACCTAAATGCAAAGATAGGTTCGGACAATCGTCACTGTGAGGAAATCATGGGCAGACATGGATTAGGAGAGGCAAATGACAATGGAGAAAGATTCCAAAACTTTTGTGCATTCAACAGCTCGGTTATTGGAGGAACAATCTTTCCACATAAAAGAATAAATAAGGACACTTGGGTCTCCCCGAATGGAACAGCGGAAAACCAGATCGATCATTTTTGCATTTCCCGAAAGTTTAGACGCTCACTGGAGGACGTCCGAGTCTTACGAGGAGCAGATGTCGCATCAGACAACCATTTGATCCTTGGAAAAATGAAACTGAAACTGAGAAGGTATGCACAAATCACAACTGGAAGTCGCCAAAGGTATGAAGTGAGCCTTCTGAAAGATCCAGTGAAGCAGAATGAATTCAAGTTGGAACTGAAAAACAGATTTCAAGCCCTTCAAGATCTGGATGACTGTGAAGTAAATGAACACTGGGACAAGATAAAAGAAGCAGTAAATGCAACTTGCCAGAGCATCCTAGGACCCAAAGTCAACACCAGGAATGAATGGATTCCACAGGACTCTCTAGACGAAATCAAAAAAAGAAGAGAGCTGAAGGCCCAAGTCCAACAACTGCCGTACCCGAACTGAGAAACTCGCGGCACAACAAGAGTACACCGAAGTAAACCGGGAGGTAAAGAATTCCACCAAGAAGGACAAGAATACCGACCTGAATGGCCTAGCCGAAAAGGCAGAGAAAGCAGCAACAGACGGGTACTTGAGGATTGTACACCAGACAACAAAGACTCTTTCAGGTAGGTTCAGCAAGCCCACTCTACCAGTGAAAGACAAAGAGGGAAAGACTATCTTCAACCCAGAGGGGCAACTGAACCGATGGAGAGAACACTTTGATCAACTATTGAACAGACCACCTCCAGAAAACCAACCAGAAATTCTTCCAGCCAGAAATGACCTCCCAATTGCTACGGAACCACCTTCGAGAGAGGAAATTGCTGCAGCTATAACAGCTCTGAAGTCCCACAAGGCAGCTGGCCCCGACCATATACCACCGGAAGCCATTAAGGCAGATAAAGATACATCAGTGGAAATTCTCTATACTCTATTCGAAAAGGTTTGGCAAGCAGAGAAAATACCATCAGACTGAAAGGAAGGCCATCGAATCAAGCTGCCAAAGAATGATCATTGTTGAGCAATCGCTTAAATGGAATTCACCACTAGTGGTCAACTTCATTGATTATAAAAAGGCATTTGACAGTGTGGACAGGGAAACTCTGGAAACTCATGCGGCATTATGGAATACCTGACAAAATCGTCAAGCTTGTGAAGACCACCTATGATGGAACAAACTGCGAAGTCTTCCACGAAGGACAACTCTCACAAATGTTTCAGGTACAGACAGGAGTACGAAAAGGATACCTGCTCTCACCTTTTCTCTTCATTCTTGCTATTGACTGGATCATGAAGTAAGCCACCGGAGGCAAGCTCAATGGAATACAGTGGATCCCTTGGCAGCAGCTGGACGACTTGGACTTCGCCGATGACCTTGCACTGCTCTCTCACACACATGCTCAGATGCAAGAAACGACCAAGGAACTCAACAGCCTGTCAAGGAGTGTTGGCCTACGTATACACCCGGGCAAGTCGAAAGTAGTGAAGCTAGGAAAAGTGTCAAGCCCTGCTGTGACAGTGAAAGACAACCCCCTAGAAGAAGTGGACTCCTTTACATACTTTGGAAGTGTCATCGATGGTTAAAGTGGAACTGGGGCAGATGTAAAAGCAAGAACCGCCAAGGCAAGGTCAGCATTCAAGCAATTATCAAAAGTCTGGAAAGCAAGCAACATCTCACTGCACACTAAGATTCGACTCTTTAATTCCAATGTCAAGTCTGTGCTCCTCTACGGCTGCGAAACTTGGAAGACAACAAAGACAGTGCTGAATAAAGTCCAGACTTTCATCAACAGATGTTTGAAGAGTATCCTAAGAATTAAGTGGCAGAGTAGAATAAGAAATGAAGAGTTATGGGAAAGGACAGGACAAAAGGATATAGAAGTAAATATAGGACTAAGAAAGTGACGTTGGATGGGACACACCTTCAGAAAGCCCAGCAGAAACATCGCAAGAGTCACTGCAATGGAACCCACAGGGAGCACGAGGCAGGGGTAGGCCACGAGAGACATGGAGGAGATGTGTGGAAAGGGACATGAGAGAGATGAAGCTCACTTGGAACGAGCTAGGAAGGATGGCCCTGGATAGAGATAAATGGAAGGAGCGTGTATGTGGCCTATACCCTGCCAGGGGTGAAAGGCATTGATGATTGATGATGATCATTTTCATTTACAAGTGTTTCTCTGATAATGTGTCAAATGTTATTGATATTGTAAGGTGCTTTTGAAAGTGAGAGTAGAAGAACTCCATCATCATCATCATCATCATCATTGTAAACGGCAGAGAATTTTAAAAAATTGGGTTCAGTGGGGGCTGTTTCATGTTTCTTTTTCTCTGAATGCGACTGTATTTTACCTCTGAGAAAAAATTAATTACACTGTCTTTTTTTTTTTATTCAGTATGATAGCCCATCATAAATTTATGTTCTTGCTGGCACTTGAGATAGCAGGTCTCTTCAACTTATGCCTTGAGATTTGGTCAGCAGTATTTTTTCTTTCTACTACCATATAGGCAGTTTGCTTCTCTCACTGAGTTTGATAAACGAAATAAATGTTGAAAGGGGTTGCTGCCATTTGTTGGTGATTGCTAACTACTGTGCTCTACTATTATTGTTGCCTAATACATATAATTGTAATTTTGTTGTGTGTAGGTGAGTTGAACAATTTATTGCTGTGTTGTTGGTTTAACAGGATGTGCATGTGTTTCTCTGATTTTATTGATCTGAAATTCATTTGTTATTAAGTAGTTATATTGGTCTAGTCTCAAATTTTTGTAATTTTACTTTTTTTTAAAATAGAAATCAAAATCAAGTGAGCATCTTTGGGATCACCTGGACATTCACAGCAGTAATGATGAGTTGGTTTGTCCCTTCTGTGACAAAGTTTTCATGGGACCCGGTGAGCTGGCTGTGCATGGTCGGAATGTGCACGCTGGCAGTGACAGGCAGTTCAGCTGTCCCAGGTGTCACTTTGTTACGGAGGAGAAGTATCTCTTGGAGAAACATATGAGAGTCATGCATCCAGGTAGGCCTACGTTTTTATTCAGGTTTGAGTCATTTTTATTTGTCTACTAATGCTTTAACAGAGATGCCAACCAGTACGATTTTACGTATTTTAGTACGATTTTTGGCCGAAAATACGCGAATACGACTTTTCATGAAAAAATACGCATCCTGGAATGCAAAAAATCCAAGATTCAGCTTGGGCGAGTAATCCTAATTATCTGAAGTCCCATCTTTTGTCAAAATAGTATCAGTATCGCAGAACTGGAATATTTGAAAACCAAGTCCGATGTGGTCAGTAAGTTCATTTTTGTCGGTCGCGATCGTGATATTATATTATTCGTTCAGCGTTTCCCCATCTGGGAGTACGTTTCACTTTCACGCGAATAGGCAGCTATGGCAGCAGGCGGAAGTGTATGTGACACCGAGGCTCGATCGGGAAAATCAAGATCTACTTTCGCTTTCGTTACCACCGAGAAGTTTGCCAGCAGTTGTCTGATAACGCAACATTTGTGACATGCAGGCTGTGCAGTATAAACGCAATGTCGCCGTGCAAATAAAATGTACTAAATACTCGGACTCGCCGCTGTGCTGTCACTTGTGGAGAAAAAAAAAGAAAAGAAAATACAAGCGTCGACTGTCGTCCGATTTTTAGATTGTCTGGCTCGCCATCGTGACTGGTCACTGAACCTGCTCGCTTTCGCACCATAAATAAATGCTTCATCGTGTGAATAAAGACCGTCTTTGGTGGGAGTAACGACGTTGCGAAGTATTTGACTACGGAATAGGGTAGGAGGTTATTGATTTTTGGGGGGTTTAGGATACTATTGAGGGGGGGGGGGGTTAAGGCAATACCAGAGGACAAAAACTTGGAAGCACATTTCAGAACTTTGATTACAGCTTTCTGCAAAACGCGCGTTGGTGCAGGCCGTGTGCGGAATAGGGACCCTTCATACTTTGGGTGCTTTTTCGGTAGTTCCCACCCCCCCTTATTGAGCCTGACCTACATCTAGATTCTAGATCTATACGTTTGATTCACGGCAAGGTAAGATATCAAACCTAACAACTGCAAAACATTAAATTGTTGTAAAATTCAGAAGGGCATGCCCCCCTGAAACCCCCCACCTTATTTTGAATAGGTCAGGGGGGCACCTGAAACCCCTTCTCTCTTGGGCCAAAACCGGCAAATAACAATTGCGGGGTGGGAACTACTGGAAAAGCGCCATACTTTGCAAGTCTGTGTTATTGAAATAAAGTTTTCGCGTTTCATTGGATGGGTGATAGTAAATTATACCTTCTTGGATGGGTGATAGTAAATTATACCTACAGTGTATGTTGTAGCTTTCTGTTCAAGACTGGCAGATTTTCAGTGTCATTGCATCTTGCCTTACCACAGTTGTTACAACTCTTCACTGTGCATGGGTCTACTTTAGCCTTTCGAGTTATTACTTTTCTCGGAGTTTGAGCAATAATTTAAGTCTGTCAGTTCATGACATGAATCGTGACACCCAGACTGGTTTTTGATAGTAAAAATTCTTGTTCTAGGCCCTTCCAAACTCTCAAAGCAGGATTTTTTAA